AAAGAAAATACGACCCAGAAATGGGAAATATACAAAACAACACATCTATGGAGAAGCAATAATGGATTCAGTAAAATCCTTTTTTAAAAAACCAACTCCTAAACGTAAACCTCCACCTACACCGCCTCAGCCGCTTACGCCTCCCAAAAAAGTGACATTTGCCGACAAATTGAAAAAGGCGGGTGATAAAATAGTAAAAATAATTTCTCGTGAAAGTGTTCCCACCACTAAAAAAACATCACATAGAAAAATGACTGAAAAAGAATATAACCAATATTTGGAAAACTTAAGAAAATTATATAACTATTAATATAAAAGTTTACTTGGCAAAATCAAATTGTTTAGAAACCCAAAATATCTTGAGAGATATGTTATATTTGATCTTAAACAACCTATAAATACAACTGACCCAGCGGCTGCTAACACCGCCCAAGTGAGAGCACCAAACCTTACGTTTATCGCTGATAATACAGGAGAAGCTACTCCATTTGATTGGTATAACGCGCGTTTTTCGATGGATTTTAAAGTAAGAACATACGTTCCAGGAGATCTAACACTTGCAGACCACAATAGAATTGTAAATGGTTCTAACTCATTTATAAAAAAATTAACTATCCTGGCAAATGGAAAAGAAGCTTATAGTTGTAATGAAGCAAATCATGTTGCAAATATTAAAAATTTACTTGAGTATAATTCCTCTTATGCAAAGAGTATTGGAACCAAAGAACTTTACTATCCTGACACATCACGCGCTGCAGAGGAACATCCTACTGAAGCAACCTACCATGTAGGTTGCTTGAGTAGGACTTCAATACTTGGTACTTCAGCTTTAGTCAACTGTGAAATACCTCTTAATAGGTACTCTTTCTTTGAAACATTAGAAGACAAACTACTTCCCAACACAAAAAATGAACTGGTGTTCCAAGCTGAAAAATTATCTTAAACCTTACAAATGGACTTATCTCAACGAAGTCGTTCATATATCAAATAACTTACAGCAACAAACAGGTCATTACAGAATTACAACCGCTATTTCAAAACCACGCCATGTATTTGTTTGGGCTATCCGGACAGCAGCTATTAACTCACAAAAAGCAAAGCCATTTATATATGATACTTTTGGTAATTTACCAGCCAATGCTAACGTATCACAATGTTATCTCGAAGTTGGAAATGGTAATGAATATTCTGATTTTCACTATAAACCATCTACAGATTTAACAAGAGTTTTTAGAGGCCTATTGGAGTATGTTCACGCAAACAACGACTTTCAAGGTGGAACAATTCTTGATATGGATAGTTACAAAAAAGTTTATCCAATTATTTACTTTGATTTAACAAAACAAAAAATGGACATCAAAGATGGAGTAACAAAACTAGCGTTTCATTTCGAACTATCAGCCAATCCAAACCGTGATTATAACTTTTATGCTCTTGTTCTTCACGAACGAGAGGCAGAAATAAAACAAGAAGATGGAAAACTACTTCTTAGAACTTAGAGCTTCGCTTTGTATAACCATTACATAAAATGAATGAAGATTTAGTTTTTAATCTCGAACAACCTTTAATAATCTCTACTGATAATAATTATCAAAACAGAGGTAATTTCAAATTTGTTGTTGATAGGGAGTCACTTGATTGGTACAATGCAAGGCTGTCAATGGATTTTACATTAACAAAACTAACTGGGCGTAATGTAATCATTAATGATAGAATTGGAATTATTAATAGTGTAAGTTCTTTTGTAAAAAAAATTAGTTTTAGTATTAATGCACGAGAGATTTATCAATGTAATTCTGCCAATCATGTTGTAAATATTAAGAATTTACTTAAGTATAATCCTTCTTATGCTGAGACTATTGGAACAAATGAATTTTACTATCTTGATACAACAAATTCCCCAAACAGAAATAAATATTTAACAAGGCAAGTCCAACACGGAAGAAATAATGCAAACACTGGCTGGACACCAAGAATTTTTATTGAAAATGAAGACCCCACTTTCAATGAGGGGTTTGATGCAAGAAAGGAAATTCGAGCATTGTTAATTGTGAAATCCCTCTTAATCGATATCCATTTTTGAGGCTTTTAAAGATAAGATGTTATCAGATTCCAGATTCGAATTAAGCATTGAGTTTGAAAGTGACAACAACCTTATATGGAGGCAAGGGAATGACGTCTGTAGAGTAATAATTTCAAAACTACAACTTTACATTCCTAGTGTAAAATTTGACAAAAAATGCAAAACAGCAACAGCAAAGGCTCCAAAATCTTGTACTTATCTTAATGAGTACGTGACGAATTCGACAGATTTAAGACAAAGAGAAGGAAATTTTAGAATAACAAATGAGGTGTCAAAACCACGGTTTGTTTTTATTTTTATTGTAAACAGCGCAAATATAAACTCACAAACAGCAAATCTATTTTTATACCAAAATTTTAATGTCGCAAATAACAGAAAATTAATAAGATGTTACCTTAAAGCAAATGAAAATATTTACCCCAATATTCATTACAAACCATCCACAGAGCCTTCAAGGGTTTACAGAGATGTTATGTCGTATGATGGTGGAACACTTCTTAATAGAAATAATTTTGAGTCTCTGTTCCCATTTATTTATTTTAAACTACCAAATCTAGAAGATAAAGTAAACCTTTCATTTCATTACGAACTTAGTGGGGAACCCAATGCTGATAATTCCATTTACGCTATTGTTTTACATGAAAAGCTATGTCACATATGATTTAATATAAATAGTGAAATAAAAATGCAAGAAATATTTGGGTTAGGACATAAATATCACCCCTCAAAAAAAGAGATCGGAGATTTTAAAAAAAATACTAAATACTGCTAAAAAAAATAAAGAATTATCATATAATATTTGTTTATTTAACTTTTGAACAATCCCTTCTTTTTTATTATTTATGCAATAAATTTAAAAATATTAAAGATTATGACCCTAAAGAAAAACATGATTTTAAAATCCAATTTTCAAAAAATGAAAATAACACACCAACTCTTCTTTATCTTACAAAATCACAATTAAAAAAAGTAAATGAAAAAAGATCAAAAAAAGAAAATTTTGGTTTACAAATGACTAATAAACAAATTGCTGAAACCTGCAAGGAGACTATTAAAATGGACAAAAAAAGAGTTAAACTTTTTGAATAATAAAGAAACTTATGAAGGAGATGATGATGATGATGATGATGATTTTCTGGATGTAGATTTTGACAAAATAGATGAGAATAACAAAGCCCAAAAACAAGAGGAATTACAAAGAAATTGCGCGCTTTCATGAATATGAATCCCATGCTGACTAAAAATTCACAAAAATCTTTCCAAGGTTTGAAAAAAATTATAGAAAGTGAACCAAAAGTAGGCAGCTACCTTCAAAAGCTGGTTGAATTAAGCCGTATGCAATTATTAAGTTTTTTAAAAGCATGAAGAGATCATGAATCTGATTTAATATTAAAAAAAGGTAAATACAAAATTTTTTTCGATTTCGAAGATCCACAATACGAAACAAAACCATTTATTCTTTTTTTTAACAAAAAAACAAATAAAAGACTATAATTTTGCTAGAGAAAACGGAGGATTCTATAATCTACTTACTAGTAAAAAACAATTTACTAAAACCTGTTATGAAGTTGCTAAAATCAATAGAGATATATATTATTATCTCGAATATAGAAAATTGCCCCCAAAACCTAAGAAAAAAGAACCAAAGAAAAAAGAAGTATTAGCTATCACTTATGAAATGGGAGATTTAATAGATTTTAGTGATGATGAAGAGAAAGATTTAATAGATTTGAGAACTGAAATACACAATTTAATAGAAACTCCAAAAACACCAACAGTACAAGAACTACTTATGTATGAAGAATTATTTCCAAAAGGAAAAAAGTATAAAGTTTCACAAGATGAAGATTTAATTCCAACAAGTACTGGCCCATCCACTGATGGTGTTAATATTTTAAGAAACATCCTTAATTACCCAACAACAAAAAATATTATGGGTTTGTCTCTAACCCCAGATTTAAGAGAAAAAATAAATAAACTAGACTAAGAAGCATCCTTTGGTGTAGCAAACATAATAAGTTCTTTTATTACAAATAATCGTGAAAAAATGTCTGTATACTCAGTAACTCGAAAACAATTAAAAGAAATTATTGAAGGATTAATTACAACATTAAGTGTGTTACTCAACCAAGCACAAAAATTTTAATATAACCACTTTAATAAAAATGACAACTTATATTGAATATGGAGTAAAACTAACACCCAATCAAAAGTCAAAACTGGCTTCTGCCATCAGAAATAAATCACCACTAACCCTTCGATTAAAACATTCTCATCTTCGCGGCTCAGACGAGTTAATGCTGACCCGCAGACAGATAACTAAAATAAACAAAATCACTGGCAAATGGAACAGGATCGGATATAAAAATAAGTAGAACACAGATTAGACGTTCTGTAAAGCATGGAGGAAACTTATTCACCAGTCTCGCATCTCTAGGTGCTAAACTTCTTCCTTACGCAATGCGAGAAGTTTCCAAAGTTGCTCCTGCAGTTGCTACTGGAGCCGCAACAGCACTTGGAGATATAGGAATAAAAAAACTATTTAGCCGAGGAATTCCTTCGGTCACAATTCCAAAAAGATTTTTACCAATGTTACCTCCTTTTGCTCGAGAGTTTACCAAAGCTCAAATAAACCAAATCAACAGAGCTTATAAAACAGGAGGCCGACTGGTTATCAAACCAACTCATAGGCAGATAGAAGGAGGATTTCTGGGAACACGTGCTTCAATCGGAATTCCAATGGCGATTGGTTTAGTTTCAAAGATGTTTGGCTCTGGTTTACAGGTTGACCGAGGATCGTCTAGTAATACAAAAAATGTTTATGTTCCACCACCTCCTCCATCCACACATAGGTGAAGGATACTACCCCTCAGGTTTTCCACATCGCCCGCCACCCTTTTTGGGTACTTGAGAAGACATGAAAAATAAAGGACCACTAGGAATGGGAGTTAAAAAAAAAAAGTCCAAAGGCAAAGGTCTTCTTCTAGGAAAAAACAGCCCATTCAACTCAATTCCCATTCTCGGAACCATTTTGTTATTAAGCCGCTATCCAACTTTGACCTCATGGATTGGGTAAAGAAACTTGGTTCAAACATCTCAGAGGGGTTTTTAGTCGCTATGGACTACCTCGTAATATTAGAAAAAAATGTGGAATAATCACTCTTGACGATATTCAAGGCGCTGGCACACACTGGGTTTGTTACAGAAATTTGACCAGTGTGGTTGAGTATTTTGATCCATTTCGTTTGATAATGCCAAATGAAGCTTTAAAGTATTTTAACACTTCTGGAAAGCAAATGGTTTACTCGATAGATGAAATACAAAATCGCAGTACCGTTCTTTGTGGTTACTGGTGTTTGTATTATCTACTAGAGCGACAGCGGGGTAATAGTATTCTAGATGTAATACATAATCCACATTTTGACAGCGACAACAGCGATTTCATACAAGATTACTTTGGAGGATACAGGTTATAGTAAAAATAATATTTAATAAATATTATTTTTTTGGAGTAACCTTTTACTCTCTATTTATTAAAGATTTAATAGGGTTAACACCATCTCTGGGGCAATAAATTTGGCGACATATGTCACTAAAACAGGTATAAATTTCAATAAGCTTAGTTAACCTCTTTACTTTTTCTTCAGGATTATCTATATTAAAATTACTAAAATTGTTTATAAGATTAAACCATAAAAGGATTTCTTCACGAATTATTCTTTCAGAAAAATCATCATTTCTTTTTCAAAGATCCTCTAACCCATTAATAATTACAGTACGAATTTTATTCCTGTAATCTTTTAGTAACTGGCTATCATAAAAGATTTCAAACTCTTTAATAAACTTATATTCCATTCTTTATACTTTACTAACTATTCTTTAAATTAAGATAATTTTCATTTTGTGTAGTAACCTTTTATTCTTCATCCATTGGCGCGTCTTTTAGCTTTTTAAGTTTATCAACTCTCTTATTTGTATCTCTAACATCCTCAACTAGATCGCTTACTTTTGAGTAAATATCAATAAGTCTAAATAACTTCTTCTTTTTATCACTCTTTATTTTTAACCAAGAATATTTGCCTTTTTTAATACCACCCCACAATTCACATTCACCAAACATTAGTACTTTAGAGAGATCTTTATTTGTTTTTCTTATACTTTCAAACTCATGATTTACTTTAGTTCGAACTTCTTTCTCAAAATCTCTTAGTGTTTTAACATCCATCTTTTTTTCTATCTCAGAGAAAACTTGGCTTCCATTTTATTATAATATTAAATAACTTTTAAACTGATTTACACAAAATAACTTCCTTTTACAACTTGTCGAAGTGTATTTGATTTCTCAGATAACTCCATAAGCAACTCAAATATTTTTATAAATCGATTGTCATTTTCCAATCTAGCAAAATCAGCACATTCAAAACTCACATTTAACAGATTATATATCTTTTCAAGTTCACTTTTTAGAAATTAGATCTCGCTGTCATTTTATCTAAACATTATACTAAATGAAAGAATCATATTGCATTGTAGATAAAAGAGTAACTCCTTGCACAGAGCCAAGCGGTTACCAGAAAGATAAGCGTGGGCGCACTCAATTCTTTTGTAGATGCGCAGTTTGTGGAAATAAAAAAGTTACATACCGTATTTTCTCGATTAAAAGCCGGTCTCGTTTAAACGCCGGTCAAAACTGCTAATTTTTAAATAAACGCAGGGGGCGTTTGTTCGAGGTCCCGGCGTTTATTTGCGTCGAGCCAACAAGTACAGATATTCACTAGAAAAGCACTGCTATGACACGTACTGTACGGTATACTACTTTTGTTATTTTAATAAATGCTTAACGAACAAGTCTGGCGTAACATTAAAAATTAAGAATCTGTGCCAAATAGCTTACGATGACTGGATGGCAGAAACCGAGCACGAAATTACTCCAGCGGGTCGCATTAAGGCACCTTCAAGGCACAGCTGTGTTGAGAGAATATTAGCGGCCTGGGAAAGCCTCCCAAGTGACATTATCAAGAAGAGTTTTGAAGTGTGTGCGATCTCGCTACCCACTGACGGATCGGAAGATGAGAAAATACACTGTTTTCAGAAAGAAGGCCCGCTAAGCAATGAGAGGGAGGAGTTTACTGAAAGGGCCGCGGCATTTTACGCTGCGCTGGGACAAGGTGCTCCCGTAGATGAAATTAAAACGACCCATTCGCGGACCTAGAGCCGGGCATTTTCGAAGAAGAACGTAATGAGATTGTTGTCCACGAAGATTAGCCGATTAGAACGCAAACATTATTACGAACGTTTGTTGATACAAACATAAAGGACGTTGGCGACATTGCCGTTTTTAAACTTTAAACGTTTTGTTCTGTTTGCATAAATACTGATTACAATAAACACGTGCCTTATGTAATGCCGTATGTAATACCGTATGTATGAGATACAGGGACATTATGTCAGGTCGGGTCCAAGGGAGAAATCGTCTCGCCTTGACAAACTGCGCACGGATCTCAAAGAATGTGAAATAATACATCAACCTAAAAATGATGAAAATTTTACTTCATTAATAAACGCCGGACCCCGATTAAACGCCGGCTTCAAATAAACGCCGGGTCCCTGAGGCCAAGTTTTAAATAAACGCCGGGGGCGTTTAATCGAGAAAATACGGTATGTAAAAACGGGATCATTTCCTCAAACTGGAAGTGGTAAAAGAAAAAAGAAAAAACGAAAATCAAAAAACTAAATAGCCCGTCTGAGAAGGCGGGCAAACAAACCGGAGGTGATGTATTTGACACTGTTGTTGGTACAGCCGCAGATGCATTTGTTGAACATGCTTTACCTTGGATGGGCCGCAAAGCAGTTGAAATGGGACGGTATGGAGCAAGTGAATTAATGAGAAATAAAAAACTACAAAAGAAAGCTGTAAATTACGGAATTAATAAACTAACTCCATTTATTGAAGATTCTGTTGGAACAGCAATGGACCAGCTGTCAACCAAAGTTAGGCCAAAGAAAAAGTATAAAACTGATGGAAGGTAGACGGAAGAAGTGGTAAGGGTATTGATCCGATGACTGTTGTAAAAAAAGCGCCAGATATCGCAATGAAAACAACACAAGGACTGATTCCATCTTTGAAACCAGTTTACGACAGATATAATTCTGGGGATATTATGAAGTCCGCTTTTGGAAGTGAACATGGAATTACATCATGTAAGTTTTGTAGACGACCTACAGCGGCAGAAGAGAAAGCAAAAGGAATAATACGCAAAGGTAGTAATCCTGAATTATTTTTTGCGTTTAACAAAGATGGAAAACGCTTTAGACAATATAAGTCAACATTTTTCAATAAAAACCCAGAAGCTTTAACAGAAATGGCCGGTATTATTTCATCTAATCCAGATACATGGCCAGACATTATAAGAAATAAGTATGGAATTAACATTGATGAACACTTTTGGGAAACAATCCGTTACTAACTCAAGGAGAAAGAGTAGATGTTCATAAAGCTATTCTAAAAGTCGCACCACGCAAAGGATTTACACTGCCTGGGCATAAGTATACTGGTCCCGGTAATCCACTCGAGTCTCAATTGAAATACGATCCTCAAACTGTAGAGATATTGGAAATCTATGAACAACCAACTGGTGCAACAGATGTTGTAAGTATGCAACACGATGTAGATTACTCTGTCTGTGCAAACAAACCAAAAGAGGAACAAGTGAAATGTAAAAACGAAGCTGACAGAAAAATGATAAAAGCCTTACATGCAATTCCTTGGAAGGAAAGACAATGGGGTCATGCTATGGCTAGAACAATGATTAATACAAAACAAAAACTTGGAATGGGTCTTCAAAAAAACGCGCGTCGGCGTTGAGTAGTGATTGGTCTCAACAATTAGCCGACGAACTTCACAAACCAATCACAAGAAACTTTCAAAAGAGATTGGTGGTGTCAAACGGGATTGATGAAATCTGGGCTGCTGATTTGGTTGAAATGCAAAAGTTTAGTAAGTGGAACAAAGGGGTGAAGTATCTGCTGATGGTTATTGATGTGTTTAGCAAATATGGATGGATTAGGGGTCTGAAAGACAAGAAAACTGAAACTGTCAGTAAAGCATTTGATGACATATTCAAGAGTAAACGTAAACCACACATGCTATGGACTGATAAAGGTTCTGAGTTTATCAGTAAACATTTCAAAGATTTTCTGAAGAGTAAAGGGATCACGCTGTATCACACTGAAAATGAAGAAAAATCTAGTGTTGTTGAGAGATGGAATAAAACAATGAAAAACAGAATGTGAAAATGTTTACTGTGAATAACAACACTATTTACTTTGATTAGATAAATAAGCTAGTTAATGATTACAACAACACAAGACATTCTAGCGTGAAAATGACTCCTGTTGAAGCAAGTAAAAAGAAAAATGAAAGTAAAGTTTGGTCTAATTTGTACGGCGATTTGATTTACTTGAAACCTGGTAAACCAGCGTTTGCGATTGGAGATGAAGTTAGAATTTCAAAGTATAAGAGACAAGTATTTGATAAAGGTTACACACCAAACTGGACAGAGGAGATATTTGTGATTAATTAAGTTTTACCAACAAAACCACTTACGTATAGCATTGTCGATTTAATGGAAGAACCAATTAAGGGTTCTTTCTACGAGCAAGAATTGCAAAAAGTAAAACAGCAGACATTTAGAATATAAAAAGTTATCAGACGAGATAACAAGAAAAAAATGGCATTAGTAAAATGGAGTGGTTATCCTCATAAATTTAAGTTTAAGTTTTTTAAGTTCTAAGGATCTGGTTGATTTTTAATACAAAAAATATATTAAAAATAAATCCTATTCGCTTCGCTCACTCATTCTGCTCTTTATCAGAGATAACTAGGTCTTCAATATTATCAACCTCACTTTGCTCAACAGTCTCAGTATCACTTTCACTTTCATCATCACTTTCTTGAATTGTAAGTAAAGACTGCCGAGGTTTCAATTGTTTAACATAACACTCATTTACTTTGATGTGGAGAGATACAACAGTTTTACTGATAAATATCCCTTCTATAATTAAAGCCATACGCACATTACAATACTGATTAATATATTTAAAAGGATTTAAATCTTTATTTCCCTTTGTCCTAAACAAAGAAAGAATTTTCTTTGATTTTTCTGAGTAAATAAGTTTTGTGTAAAGTACTGGCGCGGCTGAAGTGTCTCTCTTAGTTTTCTTTTTTCCTTTCTTATCTGTATACTCAACCTGTTTGTAATGAAATGGTGAAGAAAGAGATGATGCTAAATCTGCTCCGTATTCATTCTCTAGATATTGCTGGCAAGTAGTTGTTATATTGTTAATAGCTTCAATAATGCTTTTTCTTTAGGATTTGGCTCGCTATCTTTTGCCCAGAGACATATCGGAATGCTGTAGCCAATTAACTTGTTTGTTTCTTGGTTCTTCTTTTTGTTTACGCCAAAAGAAAAAAGAAGTGGAGTTTCGATTACCAAAGCTCCTTTCTTTCCATTTGGATATTTGACTTCAATTGGAATTCGTTTGTATTTAATTTTCGAATCTTTCACTTTATATTCCTTTGCTTCCTTAAAGATAATGTTGTCGGTCGTTAGATCTTTATAACTTGTAATTTGCATTTTATTATTATTTAGATTAGCTTTTAAACCAAAAATAATTTTTTTCTTTCTTCTAAAAGTTTTGATATTTGCATAAATTTTTGCCCAATTTCTAAAAATCTTCTCCTATAATCTTCATCTTTATCTAATTTTCCATAACTAAAAATATATGAAATTCCTTTAATAATTTCTGCTATATCTTCAATTAATTTAATATTTTCTTGTTTTTTTTCACTAGTTTTCGAATCCATCTTTATTTTTAAGTTATATAATTTTTAAACTACAATTCATTTTGTGGGAAAATCCTCCAATTTCTCCATTCTCACACAACTCATCAAAAATTCAGCAAATGGGGATTTCCCTAATCTTCTTCCTCTTCTTTTGTCTTCTCCACTTTTTCACCTAATACAACTTCCATTACTTGACGATAAAAACTCCTTGATTTTCTTACTAATTTAATATCATCAAACTCTTTTGAATATAATACTTCATGAAATTCTTCACTATTAAATATTTCAGGTTTTACCAACTTAATCTTTTTAAGAATATTTTCAGTTTCCTTTACATATTTATTTTGTTGTTTATCATTTTCTGTAATAAAAGGATCTCCTTTATCAAGATCTTCCAGGTGTTTTATTTCATATCGCTCTTTATCCTCAAGAGGAATAGTAACATTAATCATTTTACCATCTTTATCTATTCCATGAAATGTTGGTTCATCAGGTTTACGACAAACAAATTGATCCTCTTTATTAACAATAATGGCATCACGTCCATTAATTTTTTTGATATATTTAAACTCATCATAAAATAAGTAACCAAATGGTTTTTTCATATAACGCAATTCTAGCAAACCACCGTCTATAAATTCAGCAACATCCTTCCAATCACTAAAACAGTTACCTTTTTTTAACATTAGCATTAACCACTCAAACTCATCCTTACAAGGTTGATACATTTTTCTTTTATTCTAGGTTTTATATCTTTAAACCTCTTCTTGATAAGAAGCATTTTCTAAATTATAATATAATTCCCCTTTATCAGCCAAATCTCCAATTACTCTCACCAAATCTTCTTTTAATAAACGAACTCTGCTAAACATATCAATATCAAAATCACAATCACCTATTTCAGAAAAAGATAAGTTTAAATAAATACCAGGTTCTTTTAGTATAGGCCCAACTCGCCCCATGTAAGGTAATCCGGAATCCGGAATCCAGGTAATTTTGGTCTGTGGAATCCGGAATCCACGGCTTTGGAATCCGGAATCCAGCTAATGAAATCCGGAATCCAAGCATTGTAATCCAGAATCCAGGTTGCTGGAATCCACTCTGTGGTGATGGTTCCAGGGCCTCTTCTTTTCCTTTAGCGACTGTTGCGTGAAAATCTCATGTCGCAAGGACGCGCAACAGGCATGTTCACGCGTGTTTCCCTCGCAGGAACATCCCTTTTCATTGTGACATATCGGGTATCAATTTGAAACAATGGTCACATTATAATGACGTGACAGAATCCCAGGGAGTGATTCATATTACTGTATATTATCGCTCTTTATAAGACACCCTTTCGACCGGGCCTTTCGACCTTTTTCCCCGTTGCGCTTTTGGAGTCGGAGGTTTAGATTCTTTTCCTGTTTGGGCGCAATTGGAACTAATTTTTGGATTTCGGATAACGTCAAAAGAATAATAATATAAAGTATCCTTATTCTTGGCCGTAGTATCAGTAGTCGCTGTGGTTGCAGTTACTGGCTTCTTTAATTTCAGGCACATGTCATCAGTGTCACTCAAAGAATGACATGCTGCACGTGGTGTCGACGTGGTGTCTTTCATTCAGTCCAGATTCAATCAGTCGAAATCAGACATCTCGAGAGATCACTTTGAATTTTTTTCTCAATCGATCGTTATCAATCTTTGTTAGCATGGGGAAGCACAAGAAAAAGCATGACTCGGAAAGGTACGTACGTCTATAAATTCGCTGACTGCGATCCCAAGCAAATGAGCTTTATGAATTCCATGCTAGCAGACAGGGCGAAGTACCCCTACCAAGTCTCTATTCCTGACTGCCCACACAACATCAAGTCAGTACGTTCTGCAGAGTTTTGGCATTGGATTGACATTGATGGATACCTAGTGAATGTAAGGCTGCTTTTGGTGCTACTTAGAGAATACGAAGACATCAAGAAATCAGTTTCATTGAAAGCAGTTCGAAACAAAGATCGGATGCACGTAGAAACAGCAGTGGAGATTCACCGGAAAGCGATTCAAGATTCCATTCCAGATGAAAGACTGAGCACAACATTAGTTCCAGAACTGGAATTCAAGCACTGGAAAAAGAACGGGGCCTCTCTTTTAAGCTACCCGGTAGGATTGGCATTCTCCCCAAAGCATAGCAGGCTGTTTATTACCGATAGACGTCTCCATGCAGTCTTCATGGTTGACATGCACTGTCCAGCAAATGTCACATTAATCGCTGGTGGTGGTGAGCCCAGGCACACTAATGGATATAGCAACAAGGCCAGATTTAGAAACCCAGCTGGTATTGCGGTGAAAGAGAGTGGGAAGCTGTACATTTGTGACCAAGGAAACGGAAGAGTTAGAGTAGTCAATTTGCGAACGCTTTTCTGTCACGCTTCCCAGATTGTACAAGGGAGCGCCGAAGAAAGCCAAAGTGAGGAAGAAGATTGCGCCGGTAGACGTATCCGTAAAGTCCATGTACACGATCTTTCCCTTATTTCTGAAGGTGATGTACCGGATCTGGTGTCACCATTTGCCATATGTGCGTCTGCAAAGGGTAGCATTGAACTGTTTGTGTCAGACGTTGGTCTTGGCAAGATTTTTTCAATTTCTGGTGTTGTAGACGATGAGGAAACTAACTGCGTCGGCCAGTTAAATGAATTGTTTTGTTTTGATCGATCTAGTTTATTAACTTCATTAGCCTTAACACGTGACGAGCAATACTTGTTAGTTGGAGACGGGAATGGTTCATGTATTCATCTTTGTCAAGTGAGAGGACGATTGAAACTGAGAACAATTTCGAATATTCCAGGCCTCATGGGTATTGCAGTGACAGATGCTGGAACCGTGTTCTTGTCCTCCAGCGAAGAACACGCACTGTTCAGTTTGAAGGAAGAAGAGATGCTTGGGGGTAAAGAAACCCTAACAAAAGTGTGTGGAGAAACTGCAGGCCATCGTGATGGTGTCCAAAGTCGATGGAACAAGCCTACTGCTTTATGCGTATATCGAAACACTGTTTTCGTATGCGATACCGGTAAAGTAGCAATAAGAATGTTGACGTCAGCAAAGGGACTGATCCCCCTGCAAAGTAAGATGGCCCAATATGCAAACGTGTTCCGACTCGACAAGAAAGCCAAAGAAGAAGACCTACCACGTACATTTGAAGATCATGTGAAATCTGTCGAGGAGTTGATTGCATTTCTCTCTAACCACGAACAGGAAGCCCTGGAGAGGACGGTCAAGCGAAATACCAACGGTCCCGACATGACCATACCTCGATGCACCCGACAGTCCTTCCTCATAGTGCTAGAATCGCTGACCAGCCTTACCAACACGCTAACGGAGATTGGGCATAGTCACCTTCTGGACAGGATCTGTTTCGAGAGTATGACAACTTTGGGCGTGGATTGCTATTTCAAAGGAATGCGAGCAGACCACGACATGCCTACAGTAGCTAACTACGCTTACAGAAGAGCGCGCTGCGAGGAAGACGATATGCTGCGCATTTACCAGAAGAATTTCTCATATTTCACTGGGCCCAATTCATATTATCCGGAGAAAATTATCAAAGGTGAACCTCCAAACATCAAGACGCGACCAAACAAGCTGTCAGCAATCACTGAAGGAACAGGTAACAAAGAAGAAGACACAAGGCGAGAAACTGTGATGCGAGAATTTGCTAAGGAGTATGGAAGAGGCGTAAGACAGGAAAATGTCCGCTCAAAAACGAAAGAGCTAACTGGCACCCTTCCTTATGCCCTTAGTATGTGTCCCACTACCATCACAGCCTCATTAGAGGAAAGCGAAGACGTAACAACAGCCTGCCAAGTTGTGGATGCTAATGTGGCATTGCGGAGTACGGCTGTACGGGTGCAAACCATTTACCAGAAAGACGACATATTGGCAGTAAGACACAACCGTAGAAGAGAGATCTCACCCTTCTGGCTAGCAGTTCCTGTGGAGGATGTACAAATAGAAGTGAATGGTGGAAATTTTGTGCAGCAAAGAGTATCCCTAAAGTGGCTAAACCAAACAAGTGATTCACTAACATACACCTCCGGTGATGTCTGTAATGGGAATTCCCCCAAGTGCATTCTAACCCGAGTACTCGACTTTTCTTCCGATGGATCAGACATCATTTTAACAACAGAGGAGGATAACAGGCTCTGTCGAATTGCTAATGGGGACTACGGTGACGATGATGACAATGAGAATGAAACTGCACCACCAACTGCAGAGGATGAGGGAGAAGTATCCCTCCCGATAAGACTGCCGGGAGTTAGTTTATCAGGACGGAGAACGACACGGTTTATTCTAAGATAAACGTTTCCGTTGCCTGCGTAGCTTGTAGTATAGTAATTGGACTATCTTCACGCTATTTGTTGGTAAGCTGTAACTGAAGTTTTACATTTCTGTGTGGCAATTAAACAATTCGGAGACGAATTATGTTTGAACCTGAAAAGCTTTGATTTTGGCAATGTGTACCTCTTTTGTTATTGTTGACGCCGTTGTTATTATTAAAATAAGAATAGCCCTTCCTCGTTAGTATTTCTTCAACGATGTGGACTCAGTGGACTTCAGAAACCGCTCCTATATTCATAATCCTCTCGGGTAAGGCCAAGAATTATATTTTATACTTATATTTTATATAAGACAATGTACACTTCGGGTAAAAAAAGAACAAGCTTTTTTGGTGAAAACCTTAGTACAAAGGAAACGTTGAAAAACAGAAAATAGAATTTTGAAATCTGGAATCCAGCCACTTATGGAATCCGGAATCCACGGATGTGGAATCCGGAATCCACAGGCATGGAATCCGGAATCCACAGCGTGTAATCCGGAATCCAAGACTCTCTTGGATTACCTTACATGGGGCGACCCAACATTATCCAAAATAAAATAATTTCTAATTAACCTCTTTACAATTACCAGTTTATCTTTATCATTACTTTCTTTTACTTTTCTTAATGCTTCAACTATTCGTTTTCTACGAATTTTCTCAAAAAAATCTCCTTCACCTCTACAACCCTCTTCTTCTGTTTTGTAAAATAAATCTGAGTATGATGACTCGATTCCTCTTAAAAATGAATCTTCATCTGGCGTCATTATATTTTACTATCTCTTACTTTTAGTCTATTTTTAAAGAGTAGTTATATGGGGATGATTTCCACCTCTCTCTCACTGGTACTTTTTCCCGTCATTCCCGCGAGCGACCGAGCGAAGCGAGGGAGCGAGGTATTGTTTTTGTCCAATTCATTTCATTAAATGACAGGAATTATTTCCCTGATTATTACTGTTATTAAAAAATACTCGTTTTTTTTAAATGACAGAAAGAGTACAAAAAAAGATGACAGAAAATAAACAGGGTTAAAATTTGATGGAAATGACAGGATTAATCAGGGGAATGACGGGAAAAAGTACTTTTGAGTTGAGGTGGAAGGCATCCCCCTATAACTACTGGCGTGAGTGCGTTCTCACGCACAAATTCCCCACGCGACCTTCTCGCGTGTTCCTGAGGAAAAAAAACACTCAATTTCTGCCTTTTATGCCCTTGGTGCCCGTTGTGCCCTCGAAAATAAACGATAAATTTCGTGTCGCAAATAGATTTGTTCAGTTTAAAGTCTACTTTCGTACCGTTAACATGAAAAAACTAAAATGCAAGCATTGTCCTGTTCCCTGCTGTGGGTCAAAATTTTTAGTTCGATTAGCAAACCATTTGGCTCAGGTACACGAGCTGTCTGACTTAGAGAGAAAATATTGGCTCCAGTTTGCTAAATTACAAAATACCAACATGGTTCGAGTTTATGATAAAGATACTCCACCAAAGACTATTTCTCTATAAATAAGAGCAAACGCAGTTGAACCAGTCAGTTTTCAACATGGACCCAAGGTGGAAACACCCCTTTTCTTGCTATTGTAGCTGGCCCCACTTGTTGTGGAAAAAGTCAGTTTGTCAAACACCTGTTGGAATCTGGAGAAGAATTAATAGACGGAGCTCCTGAAAATATAATTTGGTGTTATGGGATATACCAACCGGCTTACGATGAGATGCTAAGGACTATTCCCAACATCACGTCGAAGGAGTTCCTGGTGATTTAGAATCCATGATAAACCCAACCATTCGGAATTTGGTGGTCGTTGACGATTTAATGCAGGAGCTTAGCAATGATCAAAGAATTACCAATTAATTGTTTACTAAGGGCTGTCGTCACCGAAATTTAAGCGTTATTTTCATTCTTCAAAGTATTTTTCACCGGGGAAAAGAACTGAGAGACATGAGTTTGAATTGCCATTATTTGGTGATGTTCAAGTCTCCGCGGGATAGCAGTCAAGTCAGTCACTTGGCAAAACAGATGTTTCCCTGTCATGTCAAATACATGCAAGAAGCGTTTCAGGATGCGACAAAACGCCCTTATGGCTACCTGTTATGCGGTGTCATGGTGTCTGTTTACTGAACTTAGTGTTGTGCTTTTGCTCTTTGCTTGTTTACATCAGTACGATATTTCGGAAAACTTATAGGAAAATGTTTTTTAATAAATCGTTTTACAAGACTATCATTAAATTTTTACTTGTGTTTTTAGAAAAGCGATGGACAATAGTATTCATACTTATTTGCCGACTACGATATAAAGCAAAATACAAACAGTGATGTCCGCAGACTTTTGAATAGATGCTTTGTAATGTCACAGTATTAAAAGTCCACTGGTTGTTCCTGAGTATTTGCTGGGTGGTAATCCGTAAGAATCGAAAAATTCTCCCTCTTGCTCCTTGGTGAAATAAAACACCACCCAATGCGAACCTGGCTTGTCACCCGTATCCACATTGGCGATAAACAGGGCTGGGTAATGTGAAACACTTGCAGGCAGCAGGTCTGAGGGATACACGCCTTGAAACACACCTCGTGTAAATTTATCCTTTCTCAAAATAAGGGTCAGTTGAGTAGTGTCCATTTTTAGTTTGTGTAGTCGAACAACACGTTGCGGTTCCCGTCAATTTCAATCACGTTTTGGAATTCAGCGTACACGATAAGGTTAACCGTATTGGCCAGTGGTTCCTTGAAATGAAGCTCAGCGGGCAGGTTGCCTTGCTTTATTAGCTCAAAATGGTCACCTGAGCAGTGGTCTGGGGACAAGTCAAAGCAGAATGCTGTGTAACCAGAGCCATAATCGCTTCTACTGATCTGATTACCCGCATCTTGGGATAGCTTTCCAGTACCTGAGAACAGACTTTGATAGCCCACTATTACATTTTGACCTCCAGCTTCGTCAAAATTCAAGAACAGGGGTTTCCGAGGAATTTGCTCTCCGTCCACATAGACACCCACTTGAGTTAGATTGTGGTGTTTGAAGTTGAACGGGTTGGTACTGTAAGTTCCATTATATGCCTGAGTATTCACTAAGACCAGTACGATTCGTTTGGGGATGTGACCCAAAAAGATGTTGTCGGGGTTAAAACTGCTAAATCCTCTTGGAATAGACAGCACTTTACAATCTATTCGGTGAACCGGGTACTTGGCGCTGGAGTGTTTTAGTGCAGCAGCATGGCCAAGTATAATAGAAGAGGCAAATTTCACCTTGCGAACGAACAAGATAGCTTCTGTGATTACCACCTTGAAAGTTATAGCGGCTGCTGATGACATCAGACAAAACGAGTTCTTGGCTCGGTTCAGTTTGATTCTTAAATTCACTCCATTTAGCATCAACCGATCTTGAAAGAAAATGTCGCTATGAATGGGCCCCATCATATCCACAATATGACTTTCCTTAGTGAAATCATAGCGAACCTTTAACCCCTTGTTTGCGGCATCGTCGGCAGCCACAGGGTTGGCAACATCCATTTTTCAGGGGGTATCTTTGTAAAACATGGCCATAGAAAGTTGACTTGTTTTTGCTTCTTCTCCGTAGTTTAGCAAGGTTTCGATCATGGCGCGATAAGGGTAGGTATTGGTGGGTGGACAGATCAATCGCTCGTTCAAGGAAACGTCCACTTGCGAAGAAAGGGAATGTAAAAACAGGTTCACGGGACTTACTTGTGTATCGGCATCTATGGCGGTTCCATTTGCTTTTGTGATCTTGGCTTTCACAAATAAATGAGTACGTGCCAAGTCCAAATACTCATCTCCGGTTCCCGAAACATAAAATTCGATCGGACCACTGTCCGTGATATTACTGATGGGGTGGTACTCGATCCATTGCCCTTTGGTGATAGAGGTTTGTGTTGCAGGAATCGTAAAGAGATCCAACTCTGATTTCGTACATTCCTGAGACTCGTGATGCACAAAGGCCGTAGTTACTTCCAGAAAGAAAATTTCTCTTTGGGCTTCTTTTGCTGCGGAGATGTTTTTGCCTTCTTGCCTGGAGGCGAACTGATTTTGGTTCCTTGCGCTTTTCTTTTTATAGATTTTTGCCAGCTCCTGATTGTCCCTGCAATGAATTCTGGGAAGGTAGACCGAGGGCTTGTTTGGTGCGCTTGTGGACTGCTGTTTTAATGTTATCTCCATCAAGAACATCTTGGACAACATTGACTCCTGTTTGTAAAGCCTTTTTTCCAATCACCTTAGCACCCTGTTGAAGGTGAGGCATCGCCCAGCGAAACAGGCCTCTGATTATGGACCCTAGTACATAACCCCGCTGAAATCGAGCACCGTGAAACGCTGGTAAACTCCCACCTTTTTGTTTGGCTTGATTAACGTAGTACTGTTCGTACAACTTGTGATTTGGAGTGTTAGGTTTTTTCATCTTAAAAGTACTGAGGTGCACTTTGACGAAAATGAAGTGTTAACAGCACTGTCCCAAACTCAAATTGTACAGACTCCCCTGTGTCTGTCTTATATCGACTTCGACGGTTTTAAATTGCTTTCCGCTGAGAGGTAAATATTGGGGGCGCAAAAATGATTTACTGACTCCCTCCCCCACCTTTCCTTCTACAGGAACAATTCGAAGCAAAGGTACCAATGCATCCCCAACATATTGTGACTGAATAAGATCACAGTAAATGAAAAGGTCGTGAAAGCCATACTCCAAATCCACTTGTCTTTCAGCGGTAGAGGTATTAGAAATAATTTCTTCTGGTGAAAATCCCAGCAGGTATCCAATGTTACCAAAGAAAAGTTCTACGTTATTTTGTAGGTGCACAGTCACCTTTTTAGTGAATGTATCGTAGGAAAATGTTACATCGTTATTGAAACGCTCTACATTCTCGATCAGCCCTTTCATCTTTGATAAGATATCTTAAATGAAAGAATAATGACCCGGAGGTATAATTAGGGCCTCCCATACTCCGGACAATTCTTGGTTCCGAAGGAAGAATCGATTACCAAAATT